TGCCTGGTCCTAATAGGTGTAGTGTAATCCACCTTATTTGCCTTGTATGCATCATGTCTTATGCCCTTCATGCTAACTTGTTTTGGCTCCCTTCCATGCATGTTTTAGTATCATTTTGACATGTTCTAGGACTGTTTTGGGTTGCCTTTGCCATATCCTTCATGCTTTGTATACCTGTAGTGTAATTGGCCTTGTTAGCCTTGTGTTTTGATGACTCATGCATGCTATCTTTGAGCTATTTAGATGATTTGGCATCATTTAATACTTTATTTCAGAGCATTTAGCGTTGCCATGTTCCCTCTTCTTTCATGCTTTAAATGCTTTAAAGGGTTGTGCATTGTTGCCTTACTTATGGCTTAGCTTGTTTGCTTGCATGCCTTGACCTTTGAACCCCTAACTTAGCATGTTTTGATCATTGTCTTGACCTATTTAAGCCCTTTCCATGATTGGTTCATGCATTTGTGCCATGCATTACATCCCCCCTTTGTGGTCCTCTTTGTTAGCTTTAATGCTTTAAGGACCATTGCATGCTTTGCTTGTGTTGATTGAATGATTTGGCATCATTTCTTACTTAATTTTAGTGCATTTAGTATTGTTACACTTCCGCATTTGTCACTCCTTGAGCTTTCTTGAGGGTTGTGCTCTTAGGCCTACTTGGTGGGCCATTGCATGTGTGTCACGACCCAAACCCGGCCCTATGGGTTTAGCACCGTAACCGGCCAGTAATCTGAGATTACCGAAGGCCTGCAGAACAGTAATACAGTAAAACAGAGTACAGGGCCTGGCGGAAGCCAATACAGTAATTAAACAATGTCCAATGAGCTGTGACAGTCTGTATGCCAAAAAGATTTTTCATGCATTCATACATAAACAGTACAGAAAGCATTCCGTCTGTACAAAACAGTACGGTCTATACAAAATTTACAATCACACAGTACAGGGACCTAATCCCTTGATAACAGTACAGTAAACATTCAGTCTATACGGAACAGTTAGACAGTATGAAGACAGGCGGGGGAAAACAAACAAAACCCCCCCAAGCCATAGCATGGCAACTCGGAACCTCGCAGTGAGGCACAAAGGCTGGCTTGACAAAACTGGAGTTACCCTGACGCTCCTAGCTCCGATCTGGTGCCTGTACACCTACATATATATATGAGCAGTGAGCTAAAACCCAGTGAATAACATAAAGCGTAAAGAGGTTTAGAATGAATGTCCTTACAGTATGAAAACAGTTCATTTCAATCAGTAATTCAGTTGCTCAGTACAGTAAACAGTCATATGTGGTACATCCATTAGCACAACAGTAACAGTAGGTCTTAAAAGACCGAACAGTAATGATGGCCATCAGTCAGTAAACAGTAGTCGTTCCACGAGGGAACCGACAGAGATCTCTGTAACAGTAACAGTAACAGTAAACAGTAGGTACTAAGGATGCCACAGTACAGTTCAGAAATAAAGGACATACATTCACTCAGTAAACAATATCAGTTCAGTAAACAGTTCAGTTCAGTATTCAAAAGATAATCAGTTGAACATATCTTTACACAATTGTTACTCACAGAGTTCTGGGCTACAGTATGCTAGAGCGTGTCTCCCCAGTTGCCAACCCTACACAGTTAACAGATTGAACACACACTAAGCTACGTAGTTGGGGAATATCATAACTTAGTCCCTAATTTGCCTTGGTGTGTTCTACAACGATATCCTCATCAAGATGTCTTAAACTAGGCCTAAAAATGCCTAGGATGGGATGAGGATGCAAAAATGCACATTTAAAAGCAGTTTCAGAAAAACAGAGTCCCGCTCGAGCTCAGGTTTCCCCGCTCGAGCGTACAGGCAAACAAAGGTACACGCTCGAGCGCAAACTTTCCCGCTCGAGCGTACTGTAAAAGTTCAAAACCAGATGAAAACATGGTCTATAACAACAATATGAGCATGCATGTACTAATGTCCATGTAATCAACCTCAAAATGCAACAATACTAACATGCATGCAAGAAATGAGCTTCAATCCACCATTAATGAACCAAATCATGGCTTAGCTCTACAAATGAGGCATGAATCATGCAAGAACTAGCTCAAACACATCAATAAAGGTTGAGTTCTCTTACCTAGAGCCTCAATTACAAGTGTAGGACCACAAAGCAACAATCAACCTTCAATTCTCTAAGTTGTTTAAGCCAAATCTCAAGAACTACACAAACCCTCACTCTCTCTTCCTCAAGGTCGGCTAGAACAAGAGATATGGCTGATGGAAATGTTTTTGGCTCAAGTATAATGAGCTCAAGGTGTAGAGGTAGTGGCCCACTCAAGGGCAAAACGGTAATTAAGTCCAACTCTTTAATTAGCTTATTTTAATCTAATTTAATCATACCTAATCAGTTTTCAGGTAAATACACCACAAAATCACATAAATTATGTTGATCATTAAACATCAATCAATTTTGGATTCGGCCGCCGATAAGGCCTTCAATTTGCAGTTTAAACATATAAGCATGAACAGATATTCATACAATCAAACAGATAGGATGTAATTTAACTAACATATACTCCATCAATTCGGTTTCCAATTTCAGTCAGTCAGTTATCAGTCATTATTAGTTCCGTTTAACAGTAATTGGTGATTAACGGTAATCAATCAGTCATTAATCAGTAAACAGTATGAGGGTTGTTACAATGTGCATGCTTGTATACGCTTCATGTGCCTTAATTTTATCACCATTGGCCACTGATTTGGGCATGACTGAGGTCTACCCCCTTTTGGTTTAAGTCCATTTAGAATGTTTGTTTACATGCTGTTCGCATGCGTATTGTTCATTGCATTAAGTATTCCATCTTACATTGCATTGTGCATGCCATGTGGTTATTTGCATTGTGTATGCCAAGTTGTTTCTTTGCATTGAGTATGCATGTTCCTAACATTGCTAAGTTGCCCTTGTAGCATTGCATTGTGCATGCATGCATTAGCATCGTTCGCATGTCATTAGCTTTGTTAAGTTGACCATGGTCACATTGCATTGAGTATGCCATGTTGTTGTTTGCATTGAGCATGCCATGTTATGTGTTGCATTGTTGTTTGGATTAAGTGTTAATCTGAGCACGAGAAACGAGGAACATTTTATACTTGAAATAATGAAACGTGCCTCAATTCTCGGTCGCCAACGCTCTTGATCCTACATGATAGAGTTTTAGGCTTTATGTGTTTACTTGTGCATTCATTTTATATTGAATTGTGCAACTTCACCTCTCGGCCATCATGCATCGATATACGTGATTGGTGGCCCGAGGGTCGAGAACCGCACTCCCTTGAGTTCATGACATGATAGGGAGGGTGGTTGTGCACACATATCTTGCAAATATATTGCCATGCCCTTTCTTGCTCTCTGTTGCAGCAAACTGGAATTCAACAGCAACAACTGGTCGGCCGACCAGTATTACTAGCTAGCTGACCACTTTTTCTGGTTTTCAGCACAGAAAGTGGTCGGCAGGTGGTCTCCTTCCTCAACAACTGGTCGGCAACCCTCCCACAGGTTCCCATGATGGAGTTTCAGCTTTCTAGAGCTTTGTGCAGTGTTCTGGAAACAACTGCAAACAGAGGCAAATTGGGGCATCGCAACGGATCTCCAAACGAGGTGACCGAGCATGCATCCAGTCTTCTCCCTCCGAGAACCTCCTGTTTTACTGCTTTATTTAGCATCTTTACTCAGTTAGATTAAGCATTCATTTTGTACTTTAATAGTTAATGCGTTTAGCTATTTCAATTTGTTTTGTAATAATTAGTTTAATTGGCTTAGATTAGCTAGTTAGATTTTTACTCGATCCCTCCGTCGAGAGGGCGTATTGTTGTAATAAGCGTGCGTGTGTGTGATGCATGTCTTCCAACCCCCATTTCTTTCTCTTTTTTACTTAACCGCTTATGATGGTTAGTTTTAGGGCATATTTCGATTAGCATACCTCATGCTTGCATGCGTGCATCCATTCATCTGTCTTGCATGCACCAGGCTCGGCGCATCATACTAACTGCATTGTATTTCAATTCCAATTTGAAAACATGTACCAAGTTGCATTTCGCATGACATCCTAGGTAGCCGAGCCTATCTTAGTTGCATTTTTGCATATGTTGCATTAGCCATCTTAACATGAACTAGGATCATGCATGATTTCTAACTAGTTCCTTGTTTTGGCTTGGAGTACACTATGAGTGTTTATGTTTTAGCATACTGCATGTGTGTTAATGTTTCCATGAAAGCATGCTTGCCATGAGGCTAATTGCTTATCTGATATAACTGCCTGAATGCCTGTGGGTGAAGGTTGGATTACTTGAATTGGAACAATTCATTAAAATCCGCGTTTTAGCCTACTTGTGAGTAGCAAACTTCAAACTATTTTCACAAACGAACATGCAATGTTTTGTTTCAAATTAGGCGATCTAGTCTATACTTGTATGTTGTGCGCATCACGTAGTAAGATTAGCTAATTAACCGGAATAAGAGCACATGTGTTTTCAAAAACAAAATATCATGCTTAGTACAAGCCGATCTTTGATCAGGCGAGCGGGGGTGCTCATTGCATGACCTTCCCCTCTCGTACCCAAGTTCCCGAGCCGAGACAACTTTGGTGATGATGGACACGTGGCCTTAGGCATGAGTCAGGGTTTTCTAAATTTCCCCAAAATAGAATATTTAGGTAGCGACTCTGTATCTGGCAAAGCAGTCCATGTTTGACACTTCTTTATAAAAATCAATTTTCCAAAACGATTTGCCGGATTTGGACTCTTTGGTGATTTATCGGTCTCACATTGCACTTTGTGAGATTAGATTCAAAACTGTGACATTGAGTCCGAACTGTAGTAGCTAGAGTCTCACAACGCGGAGCTCGGGAGCCCTCGGGGCATGTCTACACACTAGAGGAGGAGGAATTGAAAAACAACGGTTGAGGAAGTCGATGGAGATTAATGGTGGGTTGTTGGAGGTAGGGTTTGTGACGATGAGGTCTTGAATGGAGATTACTTTGAGGTGGTTCTTGTACTCATCCATGAGTTTCTCGAATGTGGGGTCTCTGGATCTAGAAGCTACATACTGGGATAAAGTGGTTTTGGATCGGAGGCCGGTAGCAGTGGCGGTGGCGGTGGCGGTGACAATGGATGTTGGTGGTTTCTATGAAGAGAGAGAGAGAGAGAGAGAGAGAGAGAGAGAGATGGGTGGAGAGAGGCATTGGGTTTGAGGTAATGAATTCAAACAAATAAATTTGTTGGAATACTAATACTAAATGGAAATGGTAATCGGTATTTTCGTCATTCTATAGTGTCTTGTCCTTATGGACATAATAAAGTTGCTCTTAGACTTTGGGTAAGAAAAATCTAAAGTTGAATTTATTGCCCGAGCAACCTTTAAATTATCTATGTGAGCTAGGTGGTGAGCCCACAGAAGACAACAAGCATTCCAATTTGGAAATCCAATTGGCGAGGATCTTATCCATATATTAAATCCACACTTTAGTTTGCTTTTTTTTTTTTTAATGATTTTGAGCCCAAGTGACCCATATGAGCCTCAAACAGGCCTTAGGTTTGTGTCCCCATTTTTAAAGTCCAATTGTTTTTTATTCTTGTCATAGTATCCATACGGACACTTATTTTTGGGGAAATAATTCACAGTAATGGTAATGGGATTCTAAACAATCCTGGTAAATACATTAATGCATTATCTATGTATGGAGTTCTCCATTGAGAAGCCAAATCGTATCCGGATTTGAGCTCTCCAAGGAGCATTGTTTGCTTCGATTTAGAGAAAGAGAAGTACAGGGAAATATGGTGCTGGAAAATTAGTTTTTTTAGGCTTATTTTGGGCCAACTTTGAGCCCAAAATTGAGTGGGTCCCAAACGTCTTTTGGGGTGGGTCCGAAAGGTGACGTGTTCGTTGCCACATGGCAAGTCACACGGTGAAGACAGTTCGACAAAACCATTTATGAGTGAATGGGAACTTGACGTCGTTTTCGGGTCCGTGGAATGGACATTTAAAGATTTAAATGTGGGTTTCCTTTTTATGGGTTGTCTTACATTAAAACTATAAGAGAGCTTTTTTATGTATATAAGCTCTAGACTACAACACTTGGGTTGGGCCCCAATGGGCACCCCAAGTTTGTAGAAGGGAGGAGTTATGGACAAAGTGAACCATAACTCAAACCACCACACACGCGCCCGCGCGTTGCCGCCACCGTCTGTCTGGGCGCTTGTGTGGGTTGTGGGTCGGGTCAGTTCTAATGTAATTTTTTGGATAAAGTTTATTTGAATTTCTTCCAGAAATTCTTAATGAAATTAAATTCCAAGTTGGTGCCAAAAATTGAATTAATTATCTGTTCATTTTTTTATCTCATTCAATCCGAAAATTCCAACAGATTCACTGCTCAAATCTACTGCAGTTACACAGATTGAGTTCGCACAATGCACTGTTCAGACTAATCATACAGTCCAAACAGGTTCTATATCTATTTAAACTTAGACAGATTAATTTTCTGTTTAGAACATATTTAAATCTTCCCAGGCAGTTTTGAACAGATTTAAACTGAGGTCTAACAGGTATTTAACTGCTGAAAACTGCCAGCAGTTTACAGAATTAACTGCCAACAGTTACAGTTTGAAACTGTCACTGAATCTGTTTAAATTCAAAATTGAATCTATCCAGTTTTTGCACCTGTTCATGTTCAAAATGGTACCTGTTCGGGTCAGATTTTTTGTCTATAAATACAGCCATTTTCCAGCAGTCTTTGGGTACTGAAAAATTCATTTTGCTGTCCTATTTTCTACACAATAACATATATTCTTCATATTAGCTTTTAGGAATTTTATAGAAAGTATAGAACACAAGGTTCTAGTTCGCCGGACAAATTTGTTTGAAGTGCTATTACAAATTTGTGAAGATCATTGTATCCTGGGAGATAGACGCCACATAATCGTAAGCACTGTAGCGGAGCGAATCTGTCTTAAGGACAGAGTGTCACACACTCGACTTGGTCTTTTATTTTTCATTTGGTTCGACAAAATAAATTCTGTAAGTTTTTATTTTATTTTGTTTGATTTAGTTTCAATTTATATTATTTACACAGAAGTTTGTCCTAATAATCTTAAGACAGATTCGAATTATTCTGTTTACAGAATTTTTCGTTTGTTTCCCTTTCTCTTTCTTCTTTTATTTTCTGTGGATTTACAAAATAATATTCTGGTTGAAAAAACAAATAGTGATTATATGCTATTTAACAGATAGTAGTAATATACTGTCTATTTTCTTTGACAACTAGTAGTAATATACTGGTGTCATTAACAATTCAGAATATTTATTTGTGGAATTTTGTCAGAAATTAATTTTAGTTTTTAGAAATTATTTTCTGAGTGTTCATTAATTCAAATTCTATTTCAATTTTTTAATTATTGAAGTGTCACAGAAATTAATTTTCTATGTGGAATTAATTTGGTTAAATAAAATTTATTTTATTTCCAAATTAATTGAAAAATAAAAGTTACATTCTTGTAACTTTTATTTTTACAGAATTTAATTATGTGAATTTGGATTAATTTTCTGTGTAGTATAAATTCTAATTCTAATTTTGTTTTATAATTTAGAATTCATGGCTACTGAAACAAATACTCAAACAAGTACTAGTAATTGCGCCAACCCCATCTCATATTGTGACAGTACTGGTAAATCACAGTGAGAAGTCAGAAAAGTTCCCAGGAACTGATTTTAAAAGATGGCAACAGAAAATGTTGTTCTATCTTACAACTCTTAACCTGACTTATTTCCTCCGTGAGGATGCTCCTATTTTGAAAAAGGATAAAACCGACCGGCAAGTGGTTGCTGCGATTGATGCCTAGAAACATGCTGATTTCCTTTGCCGAAACTACATCTTGAATGGACTTGACAACACATTATACAACATCTACAGTCCTACCAAGACAACAAAGGAACTTTGGGAATCTTTAGAGAAAAAGTACAAAATGGAAGATGCCGGCTCAAAGAAATTTGTGGTTGGCAAATTCATGGACTTTGTGATGGTTGATTCTAAGATTGTGATCAGCCAAGTTCAACATCTCCAACTCATTCTGCATAACATTCACGCAGAAGGCATGTCTCTCAGTGAATCCTTCCAAGTTGCAGCCTTAATTGAGAAATTACCACAAGGTTGGAAGGAATTCAAAAACTACCTCAAACACAAGCGCAAAGAAACGTCTTTAGAAGAATTAATTGTGCGTTTGAGGATTGAGGAGGACAACCGCAATTCTGAAAAGTGGGCTGGTAAGCATCCTATGGAGTCTAAGGCAAATGCGGTGAAACATGCTTCAAAAACCAAGAAACGAAAGTCTTCTGGAGAAAGTTCATCACAAGGCTCTAAAGGAGGGAAAAATAAAAAGTACAAGTTTAATGGAAAATGTTACGTCTGTGACAAATAGGGACATCGGGCCAAAGATTGCTGTAGCAAAGGCAAAAGCAAAAGAAGAACAAGCAAGAAGCCTGCTCAAGCCCATATGACCGAAGTGGACAATATTTCCAATGGTGTAGATGACATCAATCTTTCTGCAGTTGTTTCTGAGGCAAATCTTGTTGGAAATCCTAAAGAATAGTGGGTGGACACTGGTGCTACTCGCCACATCTGTGCCGACAAAAAGATGTTCACATCTTATTCACTAGTGGACAATTGTGAACAACTTTTTATGGACAACTCCTCAACTTTCAAAGTTGAAGGACAATGGAAGATTGTTCTGAAGATGACATCTGGAAAGGAACTCACTCTCAACAATGTACTGCATGTACCAGACATTCGCAAAAATCCTGTTTCCGGATCTTTGTTGAGTGAGAATGGGTTTAGGCTAGTGTTTGAGAGTGATAAATTTGTACTTACTAAGAATGGGATGTATGTAGGAAAATGTTACATGTCTAATGGCCTTTTCAAGTTAAATGCAATGACCGTTGTACCCTCAGTTATTAATAATACTACATCTTCTTCTTATTTTCTTGAGTCTTCAAATTTATGGCATGGTAGATTAGGACATGTTAATTATGGATCTTTGCGTAGATTAATTAATATAGAATGTTTATCTAAATTTGATATTGATACAAATCATAAATGTGAAATTTGCGTTGAGGCAAAATTATCAAAAACTCCTTTTCATTCAATTGAAAGAAGTACGGAACCTCTTGAATTAATTCATAGTGACATTTGTGATTTTAAATCAATTCAGACTAGAGGTGGGAAAAAATATTTTATCACTTTTATAGATGACTATGCTAGATATAGTTATGTTTACTTAATTTGAACCAAGGATGAAGCTTTGGAAACTTTCATTCAATATAAGAATGAAGTTGAAAATCAACTTGGTAAGAAAATCAAGAAACTTAGAAGTGATAGAGGTGGTGAATATGAATCACCTTTAGAGTATAGTAGAGGTCTACATGCTGCTGGTTTGGTTTTCATTTAGAACTTTTGATATTTGGTTGTGCTCCAACCAGTTTTGAAATACCTCTCTTTTTGGGGGGCTTGGGCTTTAGTGGTGGCCTGTGGTGTTTATTCTATAGAGGACAGGCTTAATTGAGGTGATGGGTTCCTGATTCTTCCTCATGCTGATTTTCATAGTATATTTAGCTGTCAAATGTTCTTTTTTTGAAAAAAAAATTAATTTTTCTATTTTTTTAAAATTTTTCTATTTTAATTTTTTAAAATTTTTCTACCAACACTATTAATCTCTCATTATGATTGTTGTATCATGGATGGAGCATTAAAACTCGTTTTTGTGTAACTGTTTTTCTCAGTCGAGCCTCACTGATAGTCTCATTAAAATTATGTTAGTTGTGCAGTTGTTTATGTTTTTAAAGCCAATCAATATATCTGATTATCATGATAATATTATCATCTGATTGTACTTCAATTGATTTTTGATATAATCGCACAGTTAAATTTTCAAAGATATTGCTGATTTCTAATTTTAAAAATTAAATGGGTGTCTTTTAGCCACTAAAGAGGAAGAGTGAAACGGCAGATCATGAAGCTGAATCTAGTGATCGCAACCCCAGCACTGGATATGCTGAACCTATTAGCAGCCCTCTTCAAACACCTGTATCAGGAAAAAGGGGAAAGGCACAAAGAGCGCCAAGGATTGCAAAATGCAATAGAGCTGGATCCCAAACTCCTGTGGCAAATGTTGGTGAGTATTACCACCCACTTGAAGTCTTTATCTTGGGATTCAATATTGCCTGAATTGCTCACAAGTTGGGAACTTTTCACCCATACGGATTTTAAAAAAAATCTGAAATACATTTTTGAATTTGCAGGTTCTCCTTCAGGCAATAATCTCACTCCAGTTGGTCCCTGTCGCTATGATAGCTCCCTAGGTAACTAAATTATTGTTTACATGTTTATTTCTTGATTTTTATCTTCATATTTACTTTTTATTATTACTCGATATAAATTTTAAGTAATTTATTTTTTGGTAGTAAATGGACCTCGATTTCTTTTGCTATTGACTCCATGTTGTATACCTTGCCAAAGTAGAGTTAGTATGTGCCATAAGAATGACTGCTGACAATGTGTTGTGATTTTTCTTTAGGTCTGTTGACAAAAAAGTTCATCAATCTCATCAAACATGCTGAAAATGGTATTCTTGATCTAAATAAAGCTGCTGACACATTAGAGGTATCTATACTATCAAATCTGTGCATCATGTGTTTTGAAGGTTTATTGAATTGCTATTTGCTGGGTTTTGTTGTTACAGGTACAAAAGAGGCGGATATATGATATTACAAATGTTCTTGAAGGAATTGGTCTCATAGAGAAGAAGCTCAAGAATAGAATTCAATGGAAGTATGGATGTGTTTCCTAATTGTTTATAAAATTCTTTGGCAGTTGCTTTATATTTCATTTTCTTTTTATAATTCTAAGAATCACCTCAGCACATTAGATGATACTCACTAAATGATTGTTTAATTAGGGGACTTGATGTGTCAAGGCCAGGGGAGATTGATGAGAATGTTGCTACCATACAGGTATGTTGAAGCTGGAAATTTATGAGCTTCTTGACATGCAGAAACTTCAGGGGCTTAGGTGCACAGTACCACTTTTTGAAAATGTGTGTGCATGTGTTTTACTTTCTTTCCATTTCTCTCTCTCTCTCTCTGTCTTCTTTGTTTTTTTTTTTTCCTTTCTTGGAGTATCACTATCCAAATCATCTGCACTAGTGGTTACATAGAATGGAACTTCTTAAGAGGAGCAAGGTTTGTGTGTGACATTCCCCTTGAAAACATCCCAGATATGTTCCTAATGTGTTCCACAGCTTCTAATGTAAATAGGGATTATATGCATTGCTGACACAAGTCAAGCATGTAGCAGTCACTTTTTAAAATGCATAAAGAATAATTTTTTTTGTTTGATCGCTAGCGAAAGGAATTTTATTAACTAAAAAGACAATAAGTACAATAGAGGTAAAGCATAAAATCAGTAATCAAAATCAACCCAAAACAAAGCAAAAAGTAAAATCTTGATTTGCACACAGCCTTCCAATCTTTGGATATCAAAAAGAGTGGGATCCCTCTAAATGAAGGTGACACTGAGGCCCAAAAGGATGCCAAACACCGAACTCTATCCCACATAGAATCCATGCTCCAACCACACCAAGCCACAATGCCTTTGCTCTCTTCCTACCCCCAAATCCACGAAATTCAATTAATGTAAGTATAAAATATAAGGGAGTGGTAGCAGTTAAATGTTGAGACTTGACTCATCTTTTCTTATATTATAACATTCTGTGGAAACATAGATATATAACCTGAAGGTAAATGTTTATCTCATGGAATGTATATATGAATATGTACATGCATATATGTATAATAGCGATTGGGCACATGCAATGCATGTGTGAACTTATGGAAAAAGATTAATATTAATACTAAAAAGATATATAGGAAAAGGAGTTTATGTGTTCTGGGAAATTTTAAAATATTAAAAAGATACATGGGGAAAGGAGTTGTGATAGGAAACGTTACCAAGTTAGGTGGTAAACGTCACATGCACGTAATAGAATGTTGTTGAGTGAACTGGGCAGTTTTAAAGCTGCTGAGGCATTATTCAATGATTTTAATGTTTGATCTTGTTAGTGAATTAAAGAAACATACAAATATATAGTAATTATTGTTTGACTATGGAGACAGTTTAGGTATGTTGAAAAACTCAAGGGCTTGAGATTTCAAGTGGAGTTATATTTTTAAATAATAGTATCAGTGAAATCTGTGGCATCATCAACCTGTATGGTATGAGAGAATGTTGATAAGCATAAAATTTACCATAGTAGTTCAAGTGTTTGCACTTCTCCCTTGAAAAAAGGTTCGGGTTGAGGCTTTTGTCAAAAGAATGTGATTAGAGAAATACAATTTTGTATTATCACTTACTCACAATGGGAGTGGGACCCACACCATGTGATGATGTGGGCTCCACTCCAATTGTAAGTGAACAATAGAAAATGGTTTGTCCGTGGTAGGACTCTTCTGAAAATTCAAGTTTATTATTTGTTGTTTATATTCCCACACATGAAATGTGGCTTATTTTAAAACTTTCTAAATCCTTATTAATGAAATAATATAAAAATCATCTAAGCCAAACCTTTTATTTATTAAGAGTACGATATTCTTAACCTTGCCATTAAATGTTCTATTTGCAAATTGTTAAATGTTTAATAAACGTCGAGTTGCAACAAGAGTTAATAAAGAATCTGTAGAAGGTTTTCCTCCCTATTTGACTCAAATTGCAAGTGATTATTTAGTGGGGTCCCTTTCGAACGAGAAGTTCTGTCCTTTATCTAAGTTTTGGTTTCACATGTGTTACTGTTGTTCAGTCATTGAAGGTGAATACAAGCATCAACAAGAATTTGCAGATTATGGTTGACGTAGAATTTTTGAAATGTTCTTACTTATGTGCAAATATCAATGATTTCTGTTAGTTGTATTCACCTCACAGATGTGATTTGCTCATGTTTGTATCTGGAAGGTGATGATGTGCTTTGAAACGTCAATGGACTATGCAATTACACACGAGCATTCTTGACTTATTTGATTTTTGTTTCTTCTCTTGGGTTTGGGTGGGTTCTTGTCGTTACAGGTAAGAACTGTGAAAGTCAGCAACGTCTCCTTAGGTGCAACTGACCAGGACATAAAGGAATTCTTTTCATTTTCTGGTGAAATTGAATATGTGGAAATGCACAGGTTCGTTGTTGGAGTAATTTTGGCTTTCTGTCTGCATTGTGAACAGTTGTTCTTCCACTTTGTTACTGTGAAATTGTGGGAAAAGAACTGATTATCTGGAGTCATAAGCAATTTTTCTGAGCTTTAGTAGTCATGAAATTCCAATAATTTCTCTCCTCTTGCCTCCCCCCACTCCTGTTTGTTTTTACTTATTCCATTTTCTTGGCTGCCTATTCAAATGATATTAAATTCTATGGATGTCAAGGTTGTCATTCTTTTTTTTCTTTTCTTTTTTTTTTGCAGTGAGAATGAGCGGTCTCAGATTGCTTATGTTACCTTTAAGGATCCTCAGGGCGCAGAGACTGCGGTTCTTCTATCGGTTCATTCACTTCTCTAGGCCTTGAAGCTATTATATTTTTTCATTTTTGAATGTCAGTTGATTTACTACTGTCCTACTCATTAGAGAGCTTTCATTGTATTATACTTTATCTATAATAATCAACATGACTAAAGTTCATATAACAGTTATTTCATTTTTTCCCATAGGCTATACTTTTGGTATCCTATCTTCAACTGATAACATTATGTAAAGACTTAAATCATGTTTCTTTACAAGTTTAACTGGTGTGCTCTTTCAAGCACAAGAATTCTTGCTTTTAATTGAAGTCTGTCTTTGAAGAATTAAAATTTGAAATTCATCTCAGAATCTTGTGTGCTTTAATATTAGGGAATACTTTTGGATATCCTTGGAACTTGGGTCTATTGGTTTTACTTTTGCCACTGATGTTCAAGTTAAGAACATGGAACAGATCAGATCCAATTCCAAATCTGAACTAGACTTGTGATGTTCAATTTAAGAACGTGGAACAGATAAGACCCAATACCAAATTAGAATCAGAACTCCCTTGGTTGATGTTGATCAAGTTATCATATTATGTTCCATTCTCACAGGTCGTCTGTGTATCAATGTAGATTTTTTTTGCACCATGCACAGATGCACTATTCTATATATAAAACATTGTTTATCTCATATCACTCAATTGGGGCCAGCACTTTTTGTTCAATGAGTGTTGTATTTAGATTATGTACTTCTAGAAAGAAGACCAATGTTTGCTGGTTGTGCTTTAGTTATTTGTATTTCAAGCTTTTGTAGTTGCTTTAGATGAAGAATGAGTTGTTTTTGCCCTTTCTGTTCTCTATAAGTTTCAAGTTTCTTTCATGTATGATAAAGTCATTTGGGTGTTCTTCAGGGATCAACAATAGTTGACCAGTCCATTGCCATAGCTCTTGCACCAGATTACAAGTTGCCACCCACTGCTTCAGTAACACCTATTGTATGATCATATCATTTTCTTTAATTTTACCCGCTAAATGGATTCACTTTCTTACATGATTCTGTCCAGTCCACAGAGAACAAAAGTGCCGGTGCTGCCGGGTCTGCTGTCCAAAAGGCAGAGGATGTTGTCAGCAGCATGTTGGCCAAGGGCTTCATATTGGGCAAAGATGCGGTCAACCAAGCCAAGGCTTTTGATAAGAAGCACCAGTTCACTTCCACTGCCACGGCCAAAGTTGCTTCCCTGGACCAGAAGATCGGTCTTAGTGAGAAGATCGGCGTGGGCACCACTATAGTGAACGACAAAGTGAAGGAAATGGACGAGAAGTTCCAAGTTTCTGAAAAGACCAAGTCTGCCTTTGCAGCTGCTGAGCAGAAAGTTAGTACTGCTGGATCTGCGATCATGAAGAACCGCTATATTTTGACGGGGACTTCGTGGGTTACGGGTGCTTTCAATAGGGCTGTAAAGGCCGCAGGAGATGTGGGACAGAAGACTAAGGAAAAAGTGGCGGAGGAAGAACAGGGAAGAAATCCAGCAGAGGAGGGTCATTCTCAGCTTAATAATCCAGCAGAGCAGGGAAGAAATCCAGCAGATGTGGGTCAGAAGACTAAGGAAAAAGTGGCGGAGGAAGAACAGGGAAGAAATCCAGCAGAGGAGGGTCATGCTCAGCTTAATAATTCTTGATCCTTCGATTTGCTAATCGTGTGTGTATATATATATATGCAAGGTAGTTTGAATGGGGTTTTATGCTTTGTTAGAAACCGGTAAATGATGCCTAGGTTGTCATATGTTGTTGGAATGTTTGCATTGATTGAACTTCCTTGTTTGTTTGGATGCCAAATAATATCGATCCTCACTATGTGCTACTTTGCATATTGGGTAGGACTTTTATGAAGTAGCACCGTCACAATTATGGAAATATTTTATGATGTGGTTCAATGATCCAATTGGCTTCTGTGAGAACCATGCTAAGGTCAAGGGCAATGAAGAAGTAGTTATTTGAAGGTTGAAATGGAAGTTAAAAAAGTTTTTTTGGGTTTTGAATTTTTAAAAGAAAATGAAAAAGAAAGACCTTCTTTGAATTTTAAATTTATGGATAAAAAAGAAAAGGAGAAGAGGAGAGAAAAAGGATTGCCTCTTTACTGTTCAAAAGTTCAAAAAAAAATAATAATTGGACAGTGGTCAATGCATGCTTGGTTTTGATTAAAAAAATTGAGGAGCACAAAAATTTTCTTGGGCATTTTGTTTTAATGCGAGAATCCATTTGGGTTGCAGTAGGCCCAAATTATTGTCATGATCGTAATAATCATCATCATATGCTCTGTAATTGGCAGTTGACTGTTAATGTGAACTAGTCCTCTCTCGATTTAGTCGCGGCCGGTACAACTGAACCGGATTACGAAACACCTTTTAATTGTTAACTCACTCCAAAATCAAATTGCTCTCGACCGTTACTGTCTCCTCTCTCTCTCATATATATATATATATATATATTTATACACCTTCTGCATAGAGATGTATGTGTGTACATATATGTGAAGGTATGTATGTAAGAATTTATTCTTAATTAGGTTGTCATTGACTATATTTTGTTTGATTTGTGAAAAACAGATTGAACATGATTCAGATAGATTGACTAGCATGAGCCCAAATTTATTATTGTGATCCATAAAGTTTGGATCATGGTCATCTTAGTGTATATATTGTTTTATATGTAGATATATGATATGGAGGTGTAAGGCTTGTTTTAAGTTATTTGGGTTCCGTAATGGGATGACCCAATAATTGTTTTCTTTAGGTCTAGTCCCCTCTCCTATCCTTATTAGGGTTTATATATATCTATATATATGTAGATCAAAGGATTGTCAGCCCCATTGAAAAGATAACATAAAGATTAGGAGAAGAAAGGGAAGAGCTGGTGCTAAGGTTTTCCAATTATGAATGCTATATTCTTTCAAGAAAGCAAAACTCAAGACAATAACGGAATCAAACGGTATGTATCCAAGTTTATATTTTAGTAGTTACCAATATTCATAGTGTTTTGATTTCTAGTATATAGATCCTATAATCTTACATGTGGTATCAAAGCAAGTTTATACTAGAATCAAAATCATGGCAGATTATTTCAGTAAAATTATTTTATATAATGATAAGGAATAAATTAATATTTCTTTTACTGAATGATTCTTTTGCATCTCAAAATTGTGCTTTAGTAATTTCAAGTAAACTTTTTCAATGTAACGAATACATACTGTTTGAGTATTGATAGTTTGCTTGCAATTGTGTTTTATAAAATAAAAATAATAGTAATTTGGATCTGGTAGTTTATGACAATTGTAAAATATGGATGTGTGTATATTGAATCTATATTGATATATATATATATATATATTTCAAATATTACCTAATCAAATATTTGCAAAACATATGAAACATATTCATTTTTATGACTTTTACATAAACATTAAGATTGTTTAAGAGTTCTATGTAATTTTTGTAAATTCATATGCGAATTTTGGTTGGCCGTGAGATATTATTTTGAGTAACTATTTTGTGGTGATTCGGAATATGATATTATATATGCTTTGGGGCACTTGGATATGCTGAAAATTTAATAAAAGTCATATGACCTAATTGTTGTGTGTCTCCCACTTTACATGTTAAAATTAATTTGTATAATTTATAAATTATGCGTTTGATTTCTTACCCAAAAAAAAAAAATGTTATTGTTTTTGTTTTATAATCAAATTATAGATTGCATGATGGGTTACAGATTGCATTATTATAATAAATAAATAAAGTTTTAAAGGCGGACAAATATTTACTTTTGTAGTCCCAGTTGGAAGATTTTTGAATCAATGTAGGTGATACTGCCGAAGTGGTTAACTTATTGAGATTTAAAGTGATTTACCAATAAAGATTTTGGGAAGTTCTTCTAATATTATATCACTCAATTACCTACCCAAAGGGGGTTAAAGGAGTGTATTAATTTTAGAGGCAGTGTGAGCCGCTAGTAAGGGAAATTTTACTGATGTTGAAAGAATTTATCTACCCAAAGGAGATAATTTCTTGATAAATCATTCTTGCTAGTTGACTTGTTTATAAGTGTTAGAATGTATTTTATATATTTAGCCCAAAGGTATTTATATGATGATACATTCTGAAACATCTAACAAGATTGTTAAAGTTTATTTGCAGCCCATTGTTGTGAGATTATAATTATTGTCCATGTATAATTAATTAAGATTATATTGAAGTTTAAAGATGTTGATTGTATTCTATATATTCAACCCAAATGTGTTTATATAGTGAGACATTCTGGCACATCTGAGAGTATTGTTAAAGTTTATTCGCAGCATATTCTTGTGAGATTATACTAATTGCCTATGTATAATTGAAAGTTGGAGTTGTGAAAATGCTTTCTATATATTCAGTTTAAGAGTGATACATTTTAAATATTTGAGAATATTAATTGTGATTATGAGATTATTATTGTCCATATATAATTGATTGATATTATATTGAATTGAAAGCAATAAAGGGAAATATTTTTATAAAAATCAAATTTACTCATTAAAGTTTTGATTGTGAATCCGTAAATAGATATTGACTTAGTTTTAAATCTAACTAATTTAGATGTTGACATACTCGGGATTGCACCTTCTTAACCATTTATATTAACACCTCAATATAGTGTGAAAGATTGAAATTATATTCAATGTTAACTATTTAAGAAAGTAGAGTTTTAGAATATCCACTAGATGATTCTTATAAGAAAATCTAAATTATACTCAACAATATTCTATATAATACCTTTGACTTTTACAAATCGTTATTTTTTTTTCAGTGTTTTATGTTTTCATTTTTAGAATATTCCGCAAATCTCTTTACATATTATTAACTCCAGTAAGAAAAATTCTTTCAAATTTTTGTGAGCTATGACGCCCTTCCCCCCTTTGGGATATCCTTATTTGTTTCATAAACTACTTAAAAGCCCTTGTGTTAATCAAAATTTTATTTTTGATCATGTCATTTAAGTTGTAGTCTAATACTGATCTTGTTTTAAAAAATGTTATTTTATATATTGTTCGTATAACAACAATTTAATAATGTCAAAACTAAATAAGTATGATTATTTTTTTAATTTTTGTAACCTTGGTAATAAAATAAAATAAAAAATAATAATAATAATTGAAATAGATTTTGTTTTGACTTGGATGTTAATTATCATAAAGTGTGTGGGAGAAATTATTTTATTGATTTCATAAATGAGTATTGATGTTATGCATTTGTCTAATCTCATTTATGTTAAAAAACACACTAATAAAGTTTTTAAAATTATTAATTGAAGATGGATATTATAGTGAACATGATAATTTTGGTTAATGTGCATAACCTCTTATTAATTTTTTATAAAACTATGGAATCAGTTTAAATATATCATGCTTGTAACTTTGGAAGAAAGTTGAGTACTTGAGCGTCGTAATTGGATTTTAATAAAATGATGATGTGTATGTTAACATGTTTAAATTATATGAGTGTTTTTGTGATAGAATGTTTTTAATTACTATATATACTTGTGTATACTTTACATATAATACTAAGTTAAAAATATTTGAAAAAAAAAAAAAACACTTTTGAATTGTGAATTAGTAGAAAATTTAGAATAACTCGAGTTTGGGATTGTACAGAGGTAAAAAAATTTTATGATATATTTTTGAAATCAAAATGGGACTTATAGCTATTTGTTGATACTTTGTAAGTTGTCAGTGGTTCTATTATCTTGATTCTGACATAAGAATCTTTTAAGCTTTTAAATTGTGAAGTTATTAGATTGGTGAACAGTTTAAATATATAAATCTTACTTTATATTTGTGCCTATTATAATAAATTGGTCTGTTCATTCTCACATAGAGAAAGTGAGAGTGCAAGTAGAATCTAAAATGTCTATTCAGTCTATTGATAAAAGTTGAACATGTATAACACGTGCAACCTTCTAGACATTCTCATACAGTTCAAGATCCTTGTGATCATATTATTTTTCTAAATGAGCAATATCAAGAAATTGAAGAGATGATTGTTGCGTATGATGAAGATATTGACGATTTGTAATATGGTAAATGAATTTATACAAATTATTAATTGGATATGAGATCATATTATACTTTTTAAAAATTTGAAATCTAATGAGTATTTTAAAGATAAATAAATAAATACAAAGCTATTGTAAGATGTTGTGATTTGAAAAGAGTATTGTTCTTACCAATGTCATAAATATAGGTTTATAATGATTATAGTGCTATTGTGACATTTTTATCTATTGTTTTGCCAAAAAAAATAAATTTGATTTGTAAGTTAAACAAATTTATATATGGTTTTAAACGAATTTATGAGCAATGATATTTAAAGGTTCACCAAATATTATTACTTAGCTTTATGAATAATACTGTTAATTTATGCATATATCTCAAGGTCCGTGGGAGCAATTTATTTTTCTTGATCCTTTATACCGATGGAATCTTACTTCTTACTAATAATTTCGAATTAATACTTAATGTGAAGCTATTGTTGTTAACAATTTTTTTTTTATATATATATAAAATATCTTGATAAAGTATTTTATGCGTTTGGCATTGAGATACTTGAAAAATAACTTAGAGGATTATTTGTCTCATCTCAAAGAGCATACCTAGATCACATTTTTACTAAATTTAATATGCAGAATTGAAAGCTTTACATTGCTCTTCTTAGTGATCGAAAGTAATTAAGTAACATTCAGTATTTATAAAATGATTTTGAGAAAGAGTTCATGAGAAATGTCTCGTATGCTACTGTTGTAAGAGTTTAATGAATTATGAAGTTTGGATTGAACTTGGTGCATATGTAATTAGTTTGTTAGACAATTATTATTTTAATTCAAGCCTTGAGCATTGGGTTGGAACATATAAAGTGTTATGATATTTATAGAGAATTAAAGGTTATACGATTGTCTATAAAAGAATTAATCATGTTAATATTATTGGTTGTACTATGTCAACTTTGGCAGTTGCTCAAATGATATAGTATCTATTATTGGTTATATTTTTATGTTTGCATGAGGTGTTGTTTCATGAAAGAGTTTCATAAAATCTCTTATAATTTTTCACTATGCAACATGTTTTAGAGCACAACTTGAGTTATGTAATTAAAGAATTTTATTTCAGAGCTTGGAATTGTTAATTTCATCTCCAAACCTATAAAGATGTATTATGATATATGGTTTTAATTTTCTCTATGAAGAATAACAAAAGGGGTCTAGCTTTAGTCCAGTCCACCATCAAACTGGACCATGCTGTTGGGCCCGTGGGGGCCCACCACGGGTCCCGTTTTGAAAATTTGAACCGTTCAATGTGTAGAACTCTTCGAGTACTATATGCCTGTAAAAAATCACGTTGATTGGATATCGATAGCTATGTGATCAAATCAGTTTTTTGTCAACCATTAATTTATTCACCGTCCATTTTTTTTATACAAAACTGATTTGATCAGATAGCTATCGATATCCGATCAACGTGATTTTTTATAGGCATATAGTACTCGAAGAGTTTTACACATTGAACGGTTCAGATGTTCAAAACGGGACCCGTGGTGGGCCCCAACGGGCCCAACAGCACGGTCCAATCCGATGGTGGACTGGACCAAAGCCAGACCCTAACAAAAACTCTAATGGTGTTAAATACATAAATTTAACGTACTTCAGAATTAGAGAGTTGTTAAAGATGATATTCTTTATAAGCACATGTTATAAAATACATACTAGTTGATCTTCTAAATATAGGGCTTAGGCCAAATTTTAGTTTGCTAAATATATTGAGCATATGGGTACTTTACAGTTTTTTATGTGCTTGGTTAAACTTTTTTTTTTACCCATGAATATTATCTATGATATATTTCAGTTAATAAAGTTTAATGTGTTTATTCACATTTTGTTTATAGTTATGTGTGTACACATAAATGGTAATTGTTTTATATGTATTCCTCTTATATGAGCTTTTACAGTTATATTGTAATTTTGAGTTATAAAGTTTAACACTTTGATTTAGAAGTGTACATGGATCTATAAAGTATGATGCTTGGTTTAAAGCATGAAAGACCTCGGTTTAGAGGAATAATGGCTTCTTTTGGAAGTGTAAAATGGAATAAAATTCCTTGCAGGGTCTTGTCAAGACCATACAGAGGACTGAATGTGGAATTAGCATGTTATATAATTTTTGGATCAATTATGCTGAAATTCCACACTACACTTTATCACATATAGGAATCCATGTTGGTGAGATATTAGTGTTTGTAATTGTGGAAGGTGTAATGTTGTTCAATAGCATAATTACCGCTACAGTTCGATATTAATATTTCTCATTGAACGGGATTCTGTGCTGAGATGTTTATATTCTGAATCATGTTTATGTGGCCACTAAAGTTGTTTAACCCGAGAGTCATTTTTTCTTAAATAAAATATTTTCTTAAAGTAGTAGTCAATGTTTCCTAAGTAGGAGAATGTAAGAATTTATTCTTAATTAGGCTGTCATTGATTATATTTTGTTTGGTTTGTGAAAAACGGGTTGAACATGATTCAGATAGATTGATTGGTATGAGCCCAAACTTATTATTGTGATCCATAAAGTTTGAGCCATGGTCATCTTAGTGTATATATTATTTTGTATGTAGATATGTAATATGGAGGTATAAGGCCTGCTTTAAGTTATTTGGGTTCCTTAATGGGAGGACCCAATAATTGTTTTACTTAGGCCCAGTCCCCTCTCCTATCCTTATTAGGGTTTACATATATCTATATATATGTAGATCGAAGGGTTGTCAGCTCCATTGAAAAGACAACATAAAAATTAGGAGAAGGAGGGGAAGAGCTGGTGCTAAGGTTTTCTAATTGTGAATGCCATATTCTTTCAAGGAAGTAAAACTCAAGACAATAACGGAATCAAACGGTACATAATGTTTTGATTTTTAGTATATAGATTCTATAATCTTACAATGTATATATATATGATAATCTTAATGTTGTCTTACATTCTCTACCATTTATACACACACACACATACACACACACACACACACACATATATATATTTCCTCTCTCACCTTCTCTTTTCAATTTTGAGAGATGATAATTTTGGGTTCAAAAAATTTTCATGCAAATTGATTATATATACGTGAAAATGGATTCATCATCCAATTTCTAAGGGACTTTATTTTGAGTTTCAAACCTTATATATCAAAAAGACAAAAGATTGTGAACCCACCGAACAAGACAAAGAAGATCTAAATTTGGGTAGTTTATGTTTGGATGTTTATTTACATGCTCTTGTAGTTATTATTTTCATCATTTTTTTCGTGTATTTTTTATTTTTATCTTTGTAAGAAGATAAGAAAACTAGAAGTTGGACACACACTACCTATCAATTAGTTACTAAGTTTGAAATAGTAATCCCCGGGTGTTTGGCAACTTGGTAAAGACTTGGGGGTTAAGGCCCTAGGTCTCAAGTTTAGAACTCCTTGGGCCAATATCTTAGGCGTAGCGTAGTTGATTAGGAGGTTAGTCTCAAGTTATTACTATCACAACACTTGGTGTGGGCCCAATACTCTCCCGCTACGCGAGTTCCGACTTAAGCGGAGTTTATCTTGGGAGGTTGAGTTAAATTCTCAGGTTATAGTCTCCTTACTTGGAATGGATAACATGACACGTTATTGCTACCACAACATTTGGTGTGTGCCCAATGCTCTCCGCTACTCGAGTCTTGACTTAAGCGAAGCTTGCCATGAGAGGTTGGAGCAAATTCCCAGGTTATAGTCTCCTTACTTGGAATGGACAACATGATATGTTATTGCTACCACAACACTTGGTGTGGGCCCAATGCTCCCCCGCTACGCGAGTCCTGACTTAAGCGAAATTTGTCACTTGGTATGGGCCCAATACTCCACCGCTACGTGAGTTCTGACTTAAGCGGAGTTTGTCATGGGAGGTTGGGATAAATTCCCAGGTTATAGTCTCCTTACTTGGAACGGACAATAGGATACCTTGGTGATCTCTGTAGAGGGCGCTGCCCTGGACTTGCGGGAGAGTGGGGGAATTTTCCTGTAACCAAAAAAAAAAAAAAAAGTTTGAAATAGTTAGATCTGACAAGGTATTTTGACAATTAGATAAGGACAATAACATAAGGGTAATTTAGAAAAGAAAAAAGTTATGGATGTACATTTTATAATAGTACTAAAAGTCGTGGCACACGTGATGTATGTGCATCAGATAAATTTGTGAAGAGTCTTATCTGAATTCAATAAGACTTTCAAAATTTGAACACTATTATTGTGTTTGAATCATGGATTTGTAGAGGAAAAAAAAAATTAAAAAAGCTTCTACTTTATGCATTTTTACTTTATTCAAAATCCAAATGCATCCTATGCATTGAATGTTGACAGTGTGAATTACAAAGTGATTGGTCTTTAATTTACCTCTAAACTTGAAAAGTGATTGGTCTTGAATCTTGATTACTTTATATGGCCATAATTCCAATCCAAACTGTATAGTTTTTTGCTTGGGATTAAATTTTAACTGCTCATTTCGTTGGCAGGTGGAAGTAAAAGATTGTGTTACCCTGATGACCAAATAGGACAAGCAAAGATGAAGCATAAAAGCCCTCCAACTATGGAATCTGCAATTTCTCTTGACATTGTGGATGTTACCAATATGAAAGCTAATAAGAAAGCTATGGGTGTAAGGGCTTTAAAAGCTTCTGTATCATTTGGAACAAGATTAAGAACTGATGCAGATGCAGCTTATTGATCACGTGGTGCTTTATTTGGTAAAGGTGCCTCTTCAAAATGCAAAGTGGATAAGTTTGGGAGTATTGATGTAGAATGGATAGATAAAATATCAGAGTGCCCAGTGTATCGTCCATCTAAGGAAGAGTTTGAAGTTCCTTTTGTTTATCTGCAAAACATTGCTCCAGACGCTTCAAAACATGTTATTGCATTAATGTACTTTTGGTGGTCATTTTCTTTGATATGTTTACCATTGCTTTCGCCAAATAAATTTGCTATATTGCTCAATTTCAGGGATTTGTAAGATTGTGTCTCCTCTGAGTTCTTCTATTCCAGTGGGAATAGTACTAAAGGAGGCAAGAGATTTTAAGTTCACAACTAAAGTGCAAACTCTTTGGCTGGCAGAGTGGGGTACCAATGACAAGGTCAACTTTTTTATGAGAGGAAGGTAATTTTGAAAAATAAATAACAAACAACTTTTAGAAGCTCTTGATTTGCTTTTGAGAGCAAATAGGCACGATATTTTGCTTGCTATTTTTTCTTTAAGGTACTATACCCTCCGTGATTTTGAGAATATAGCGAACAAGGTATTTGCTCGTAGATATTGTATTTCTGGCTGTCTTCCTTCCACACTTAAGGGAATTTTGGAAGGACATGGCTCGTGGGAAGAAAAGAACAGTTGAATATGGAGTTAATGTCGATGGTAGTGCCTTTTCATGTGCTTTGCATGATCAGCTTGGAAGAAGCAAATGGAATTTGAAGGTTTTGACCATATATCCTTATTTATTTTTTTGAATGTCCTTTCTCTTCCCATTATCTTATTTGCTACATACATTTATTTTTGTTGCTAGATCTCAGACACTTCCACACCTTCCCAAATCAACATTGCGATTGTTGGAAACAGAAATTCCGGTAATTTGATGATTATAAAACCATTGTTTTAAAGATTGTCAGTCTACATTTAACCAAATGCTTTGATCTTATTTGTAGCTCCTTTTCATTCTAGGGAATAACAGATCCCGTGCTTTACATAGGAATGTTATTCACTATGTTTGCATGGCATGTGGAAGATCATTACTTGTACAGGTAATATGTTATTTCTTTAATCTTTCTTTTTTGCTAAATGTTTTCATGTCTTTTGGTTATTCCTCTTTCAGTATTAATTATCATCACTTTTTGTGCACCCAAAACCTTGTATGGAGTTCCCAGTCATGCAGCTCCTGAGTTTGAGAAAGTTGTCCAGCATTATGTTTATAGTGGTGCTATTTTATCAACTAGTGGCAAGGATGGAGCTTTTGGTGTGCTTATGGATAAACCGACAATGTTTCCCCCAAATATTTTACTGCAACAGGACGCCCCTGTTTACAAGGCTGTGCAATTGCCAGGGGAATTTATAATCACCTTTCCTAGATCATATCACGCAGGATTTAGTCATGGTAAGATGCTTGATATATGTTTTTGTTATTTATTATTTATTTTTTTAATACAGACAGCCACACAAACCCCTTATAGAGCAAGCACAAACAATATATGTACTTATTTATACAACCCCTTTCATCTTTTTAGACCTTCAAGATTTAATTGTGTTGAAGCAGTAAACTTTGCAATAGGTAACTGGTTTCCATTAGGGCCGAAGCTAGTCAGCGTTATGCACTTCTTCGCAGGATGCCAATTGTTCCTTGTGAAGAACTTCTCTGCAAGGAAGCAATGCTTCTTTCAAAGTCTTCAAATCAGGAAGATAGTTCCTTTGTGGACTCAGTCTCTCTCCATTATGTCAAGGTCTCTTTTGCATGCCTAATGCGAGTGCATCACTGTGCCCCCTGGGTTTTAAAGAGATTAAGAGCAACTCTGAGTGAATCTCCAAATTCTCAAGAAACCATTTTCTGTAGCCTCTGCAAAAGGGAATGTTACGTGGCACACGTTGCATGCAATTGTTGTAGAATCCCATTTGCCTCTTTCATGGTATCAGATCTTCATTCATTCTAACTTGCTATATATATTATTTCTTTTGATGAATTTAATATTGGTTTTTGTGTTATTACATTTGGCACAATCATTCTATTTAGTTCCAATTGAATATGCACATCTAAGGAATCTACTTCTTAACATTTAAAAATGTTTTTAAAGTTAACTGAGGATTTCAATAAGCATTTTTGTCATTAATCCTTCTACTACAATGAGTAAAATGGGGGTGAGTTATTTTTATTATCCCATTTACAATCTAATCATCTTATTTTCTTTATACGTGTCTGAAAAACTTATCATTTTGTTGATTACACTACAAAAAAAGGGGGCTTAAAAGGCGAAATTTTTTGTGACGGCACATTTACCGTCTCAAAAAATGACTTTTTGAGACGACACAACTTACCGTCGCAAAAAAATGTGACTTTTTGAGACGACACAATTTGCCGTCGCAAAAAATGTGACTTTTTGAGACGGCACAACTTGTTGTCGCAAAAAATAGAATATTTGCGACAGCATAAAATGTTATCACGAAAAAGGAGAGTATTTGCGACGGCAGAAATTGCTGTTGTAAAAAAAAAAAAAAAATTGTTGTCGCAAAAAAAAAAAAATAGAGTATTTGCGACGGCAGAGATTGCTATTGCAAAAAAATAGAGTTTTTGGGACGGTACCAGCTGCAGTCGCAAAAAAAAAAAAAGAAGAGTTTTTTGCGACTGTAATAAGTACCACTGGAAAAAAAAAGAGTAAAATATATATATATATTGTGGCTTTGAGATGACTTCATATATATATAGTCACAAAATGGTTTAAATAAATGCAACGGTATTTTTTTGTCACAAAAAAAAAAAAAAAACGACGTCGTCTTACGCTTTTGAACATTTCTCTTTTCATCCAATTTTTCATCTTTCTCTGTCTCTGTCTCTATCTCTCTTCTCTTTCTCTCTCTCATTCATCACTCTTCTCTGTCTGTCTGTCTCTCTCTTTTTCTATGTGTCTCTGTCTCTTTCTCTCTCACACTCATTACTCTTCTCTGTCTGTCTGTCTGTCTCTCTTTCTCTCTATGTCTCTGTCTCTCTTCTCTTTCTCTCTCTCACTCATCACTCTTCTCTGTTTGTCTGTCTGTCTCTTTCTCTCTGTGTCTCTCGCCTATCTCTCTTCTCTCTCATCTCTCTTCTCTTTATCTCTCTTGCTCATCTCTCTCTGTCTCTCTCTCGTTTATCTCTTTTCGCTCTTTCTCTCTCTATATATCTTTTCACCCATTTTTTCATCTTCCTCTCTCTCTTCTCTTTCTCTTTCTCACTCATTACTCTTCTTTCTCTGTCTGTCTGTCTATTTGTCTCTCTCTCTCTCTCTTACTCATCTATCTCTTTTCTCTCTTTGTCTTTTTCGCTCATCTCTCTATCTCTCTTGCTCATCTCTCTTCTCTCTCGCTTATCTCTCTTCTCTCTATCTCTCTTTCTGTCTCTTTTGTTCATCTATCTTCTCTCTATCCCTCTCGCTGTCCCTCTCGTTCATCTCCTTTCTCTCTTTGTTTCTTTTTCTGTCTCTCACTCTCTATCTCTTTTTCTTTTTGTCTCTTTCTCCCTTTCTCACTCATCACTCTTCTCTGTCTATCTGTCTTTGTCTCCGTCTCTTTCTCTCTTTGTCTCTCGCTCATCTCTTTTCTCTCTATCTCTCTCACTCATCTTTCTTCTCTCTCTCTCTAGATTATCTCTTTTCGCTCTCTTTCTCTTTGTCTATCTCTCGCTCATCTCTTGTCTCTCTCTCTTTTTCTGTCTGTCTGTCTCTCTATCTCTGTCTCTCCGTCTCTCTCTCTCTATATATATATATATCTCTTTCTCTCTCTATCTCTCTCTCACTCATCACTATTCTCTCTCTCTTTTTCTCTCTCTGTGTCTGTCTCTCTGTCTCTCACTCTTCTCTCTTTCTTTCTCTCTATGTGTCTGTCTGTCTGTCTATCTCTCTCCCCCATTGTGTTCACCTTGCTCACTCTCTCCCTCTCCTCTTCTCTATTTACCAAGCTCTCCACTACAAGAAAATGCACTTTTATCGACCACTTTATCTCTCTCTCGCTCATCACTCTGTCTCTATCTCTCTCTATCTCTCTTCTCTCTCTGTCTCTCACTCATCTCTCTCTCACCACCCATCTCTCTCTTGCCACCACTACTACCACTGTTGCCACTCCACTTCTACGACTATTATTACTACCATTATCGCCACCACTCCACTATCACCACCACTACTACCATTACCTTTCCTCTACCACCATTACTCTATCTCCTTTGCCACTACCAGAACTTCACCACTAATCTCCTTTGCCGCCATCGCCACCACCACCACCACTATCACCTCTTATCCACCACCTTCACCACTACTGCCGCTCCCTATCCTTTACCACAAAAAAATTTGTTCCTGATTTTTAGTAACAAAAAAAAAATTGGGTCGCAGAAAAATATTTTTCATTGACCACAAAAAAATAACTTTATTTTCATAGAAAATATTTTTCATTAAAATATTATTCCTACTTCTACCAAATAAAAAATAATAACAATAATTTTTTATTCATTAAAATAAAAATGAAACAAATAAATTCTCAACTTTAGTAACTAAAAGAAAATCAAAAATCAAAAAAAAAATTCATTAACTATAAAAAAAATTATTTTAACAAAAAAATAAATTTGTTTAGCAACGGCAACCTCCGTCGCGCAAAAAAAAAAAAAAATTATTTTTTAAATATTCATTTGTGATGGAAACTAATTTACTGTCTCAAAAAAAGGGGGCTTAAAAGACAGAACTTTTTGCGACGGCACATTTACTGTCTCAAAAAATAACTTTTTGAGATGGCACAACTTACCGTCGCAAAAAAATGTGACTTTTTGAGACGGCACAACTTGTCGTCGCAAAAAATAGAGTATTTGCGACGGCATAAAATGCTATCGCGAAAAAGGAGAGTATTTGCGACGGCAGAAATTGCTGTCGCAAAAAAAAAAATAGAGTATTTGCGACGGCAGAGATTGCTATTGCAAAAAAATAGAGTTTTTGGGACGGTACCAGCTGCAGTCGCAAAAAAAAAAAAAGAAGAGTTTTTTGCGACTGTAATAAGTACCGCTGGAAAAAAAAAGAGTAAAATATATATATATATTGTGGCTTTGAGATGACTTCATATATATATAGTCACAAAATGGTTTAAATAAATGTAACGGTATTTTTTTGTCACAAAAAAAAAATAAAAAAAACGACGTCGTCTTACGCTTTTGAATATTTCTCTTTTCATCCAGTTTTTCATCTTTCTCTGTCTCTGTCTCTATCTCTCTTCTCTTTCTCTCTCTCATTCATCACTCTTCTCTGTCTGTCTGTCTCTCTCTTTTTCTATATGTCTCTATCTCTCTTCTCTTTCTCTCTCTCACTCATCACTCTTCTCTGTCTGTCTGTCTATCTCTCTTTCTCTCTATGTCTCTGTCTCTCTTCTCTTTCTCTCTATCACTCATCACTCTTCTTTGTCTGTCTGTCTGTCTCTTTCTCTCTGTGTCTCTCGCCTATCTCTCTTGTCTCTCATCTCTCTTCTCTTTCTTCTCTTTATCTCTCTCGCTCATCTCTCTCTGTCTCTCTCTCGTTTATCTCTTTTCGCTCTTTCTCTCTCTATATATCTTTTCACCCATTTTTTATCTTCCTCTCTCTCTCTTCTCTTTCTCTCTCTCTCACTCATCACTCTTCTTTCTCTGTCTGTCTGTCTGTCTATTTGTCTCACTCTCTCTCTCTCTTACTCATCTATCTCTTTTCTCATCTCTTTTCTCTCTTTGTCTTTTTTGCTCATCTCTCTTCTCTCTATCTCTCTTGCTCATCTCTCTTCTCTCTCGCTTATCTCTCTTCTCTCTATCTCTCTTTCTGTCTCTCTCGTTCATCTATCTTCTCTCTATCTCTCTCGCTGTCTCTCTCGTTCATCTCCTTTCTCTCTTTGTTTCTGTTTCTGTCTCTCACTCTCTATCTCTTTCTCTTTTTGTCTCTCTCTCTCTTCTCTTTTCCTCTCTCACTCATCACTCTTCTCTGTCTATCTATCTTTGTCTCTATCTCTTTCTCTCTTTGTCTCTCGCTCATTTCTTTTCTCTCTATGTCTCTCACTCATCTTTCTTCTCTTTCTCTCTCTATGTCTTTCTCTAGATTATCTCTTTTTGCTCTCTTTCTCTTTGTCTATCTCTCGCTTATCTCTTGTTTCTCTCTCTTTTTCTGTCTGTCTGTCTCTCTATCTCTCTCTCTCTCTCTATATATATATATATATCTCTTTCTCTCTCTATCTCTCTCTCACTCATCACTATGCTCTCTCTCTCTCTCTCTCTCTCTCTTTCTCTCTCTGTGTCTGTCTGTCTGTCTCTCACTCTTCTCTCTTTCTTTCTCTCTATGTGTCTGTCTGCCTGTCTATCTCCCCTATTGTGTTCACCTTGCTCACTCTCTCCCTCCCCTCTTCTCTATTTACCAAGCTCTCTACTACAAGAAAATGCACTTTTATCGATCACTTTATCTCTCTCTCGCTCATCACTCTGTCTCTATCTCTCTTTATCTCTCTTCTCTATCTGTCTCTCACTTATCTCTCTCTCACCACTTATCTCTCTCTTACCACCACTACTACCACTATTGCCACTCCACTTCTACGACTATCATTACTACCACTATCGCAACCACTCCACTATCACCACCACTACTGTAGACACCCCATTTTTTACCGTTTTTAAGACTTGGACGCGATTGATGGTTTTGGAAGTTGTGCAGGGGAAAGGTTCAGTTTCTGCGGCAAGGAGAGAGTCAAATCTCAACTTCATATCCCTTTTTGGACCAAAACACTCTTGATCAAAAGATTTTAGACCTTAAAACCCTCTCTTTCAAAATGTTTTTGAAATAAAGTTTTTACGATATTCCGAGGCTCGCATTTTGTCAAATGTTGCGCTTTTCGGTAAATCGAGCAAGGACAAAGTGGAAATGAATGAAAGAGATATGAAATCTTTGAAAAAACTTTCAAAACACCTTGTCTA